CGTGGCAGTTAGTGACACGGAAATCCCCATTCCAGAAGACTCGCAAGGCTGTATTGTCGGATGTTTTCTTGAAAATACATTCCTATGGAATGATTAAAATAACGCTTAAATTGAAAATTCATATAGTGGCCTAACGTCCTGGTGAAGCTTTGTGGCGTTTATCTTCTTCCTCGTTACCTGTATAGTAAATACGGATATCACGGATTTTTACATCGACCAATAACTAAGATGGTTGCTTATACAAAAAGGCATCAGTTTTTTGCGCAGTATGACATGAAAAGGCCGCGTTCGAGGCTAATAAATGACTTGATGCTATAACATGTTGAGCTTCCTGATGATTGGTTAGAACATGTCTCACCCAGCTGACCAATAAATTGTCAGCTGTTTCCCTTTGTTGTACTTCAGGAAATTTTTTAAAGAGATGGCGAGAAATGTTCACTGAGCTAAACCTCGTATGTGTGGCGTTTAAAAGAGCTTCCATGCCATTTTACTGGCTCTTATTAATTAATCTTTGCTTTCTTACTCATCTGTCATCTGTACGCTGTTTTTTTCACGTCTGAAATGACGCTTAAATTGAAAATTCATATAATGGCCTAAGCTAACGGCCTCGTGATGCTTTGTAGCGTTTATCTTCTTCCTCTTTTCTTTTTTATCTGCCAATGCTTTAAAAAGCGTATAGCTTTTAATCTATGGTTGTATGACGGAGCTATGGTGCTTTTCTATCTATGGTTATATGACTTACTTCCTAAAATAATATTGAAAGAAATTTTAATTCTGAGTAATAATAGCATTTAAGAAAGTGTAAGATTAGCGATAGGGATGGCTTAAAAAAGTGTTGAGTTGAATCGTAACTTATTAAATAGTTACGGTTCGTTCTAGAGCAGTGTTTTAGTATCAAGACTTTACTTTCCCCAGTTCAATCATATTTATCCGTGTTTATTTGTAGGAATATACGAAATCTTGTCAGGGCGATTCACACCTATATCCAAAGACAAAAAGCGTAACATTCAGTGGCATAAATAAGAGCATAGCCGATGGGAGAATGTGTCAAGTGGTTGCTTACAAGAGATTAAAAACAATGGAAAATCATTAAACGTCAGGCCGAAAAAGTGGTCGCGAAACTTGTCTCTTTCGTTCAGAAACAAAGCGGTACACATTCCAATGAAATATTGGTTTTGCATAGGGTACGCACACCGTAGTGTTGTTTGAAAATATGTATTTCTATTGCACGTACTCAACAAAAACGAAAATATTATCAATGTGTGTACTGGGTACTTTCTGAAAATCGCAAAAAATAATAATTCTCAGCCGAAAAACAACCTGTCCTAATAGCAAAAATTGGTTCGCGCAAAACACAAATCATCGCCAATCTGCAAAAATATCACTCCCGCAAAAATTTTGTGCCAAAGAAACTATACCCTCAACCACAATAAATTAACAAGAAACAGCAGTGTACAGCTACTTCTTCTTTATTATTACACACACTTCTTGCTGGTATGACAACCAGAAATCAAAAAGTACCAACATAAATATACCCCGTATCATCTGGCTACATTTACTTCATTTTGTCTGCCTATTTCTTTTAAGTTTCTTGAACTTTTCATTTAACCTTTCCGTAACAGCTTTAGTGAATCTAACACACACAAAAAAAATATGGAAAAGTCATTGAGCTGCTGCTTCAGTTACGACTGTGGGGGAGCCACCTCTTCTATGTAGATCTTGGAGACTGAGTTCCAGCCTGTAGCCGCGTCGCCAGTTTTGAGACCACCAGCGCACTTACCGACCCAGAATCCCACGCGGACCGTTCCCTTACGGAGCTTCTCGCAGATTCCTTCGATGTGACGTGGGCGATGTGGATTCTTTTTCCAGCTAGTGCTGTGATACACTAAAAATACACCATCAATGGCTGCCGGGGACGAGCATTCTGCACCATTGAAGGTAAAGTACCACCGATGGCAGCAGTCGTGGCAGTTAGTGACACGGAAATCCCCATTCCAGAAGACTCGCAAGGCTGTATTGTCGGATGTTTTCTTGAAAATACATTCCTATGGAATGATTAAAATAACGCTTAAATTGAAAATTCATATAGTGGCCTAACGTCCTGGTGAAGCTTTGTGGCGTTTATCTTCTTCCTCGTTACCTGTATAGTAAATACGGATATCACGGATTTTTACATCGACCAATAACTAAGATGGTTGCTTATACAAAAAGGCATCAGTTTTTTGCGCAGTATGACATGAAAAGGCCGCGTTCGAGGCTAATAAATGACTTGATGCTATAACATGTTGAGCTTCCTGATGATTGGTTAGAACATGTCTCACCCAGCTGACCAATAAATTGTCAGCTGTTTCCCTTTGTTGTACTTCAGGAAATTTTTTAAAGAGATGGCGAGAAATGTTCACTGAGCTAAACCTCGTATGTGTGGCGTTTAAAAGAGCTTCCATGCCATTTTACTGGCTCTTATTAATTAATCTTTGCTTTCTTACTCATCTGTCATCTGTACGCTGTTTTTTTCACGTCTGAAATGACGCTTAAATTGAAAATTCATATAATGGCCTAAGCTAACGGCCTCGTGATGCTTTGTAGCGTTTATCTTCTTCCTCTTTTCTTTTTTATCTGCCAATGCTTTAAAAAGCGTATAGCTTTTAATCTATGGTTGTATGACGGAGCTATGGTGCTTTTCTATCTATGGTTATATGACTTACTTCCTAAAATAATATTGAAAGAAATTTTAATTCTGAGTAATAATAGCATTTAAGAAAATGTAAGATTAGCGATAGGGATGGCTTAAAAAAGTGTTGAGTTGAATCGTAACTTATTAAATAGTTACGGTTCGTTCTAGAGCAGTGTTTTAGTATCAAGACTTTACTTTCCCCAGTTCAATCATATTTATCCGTGTTTATTTGTAGGAATATACGAAATCTTGTCAGGGCGATTCACACCTATATCCAAAGACAAAAAGCGTAACA